CATTTACTATACTTGACAGTTCTTTATGCCTTCAAAATATAAATTTCCTCCTTAAAAAAAAATTTTTGGTAAGAAGCTGCCACCTATGACTGTTAACGCCTCTCCTAGGGGCTGCCATCAGTAAAGGCCATTGCAGGATTAGCCCATTAAAACTTCCAAGTGGGAACATCATACCCAGTGGCAGTCACAAAATATTCTTTTACCCTGTTGTCGGACATCAGTTTCTTGCTCTGAGGTACCTGCAAGATCAGCCATCTTTTAGAGATTAATTCAACTCCCGTGGACTTGTCTGAAAGGAGTGGGGCCTGAGCACCAACACACACGCAAGTTTTTAACTCGCATTGTCATAGGAGAATGACATCTTAAAAACCAGGCACAGAGGAGCCTGACTAGGTAACTGAGATGAGAGAAGAAGGGGCCTTTTCTTCTCCTTCTTCTCCTTCTTCTTCCTTTTTGGAGATGGAATCTTGCTCTGTTGCCCAGCCTAGAGTACAAGGGTGTACTCTAGAGCTGGGATTATAGGCATCCACCACCATGCCTGGCTAATTTTTGTATTTTCAGTAGAAACGGGGTTTCCCATGTTAGCCAGGCTGGTTTAGAACTCCTTACCTCAGTTGATCCACCCACTTCAGCCTCCCAAAGTGCTGGGATTTTCTTCATTTTATTGAGATGGGTCTCACTATGTTGACCAGACTGGTCTCAAATTCCTGGGCTCAAGTGATCCTCCCACCTTAGTGTCCCAAGTAACTAGTACTATAGGAACCAGCCACCATGCCCAGCAAGGAGACTTCATACAGATTTAATTCTATATTGGAAACCAACCTTGAGAGAAAGCCCACTCTGTGTGTGTGTGTGTGTGTGTGTGTGTGTGTGTGTGTGTGTGTGCGCGCGCACGCGCGCGCGCTTCTGTCCAAGTCTGAGTTCCTCAAAATCATACTGTCTTATCCAGCTTTGTATCCCTAGTATCTAGTATAGTACCTTACATATACTAAGTGCTTAATAAATAGTTATTAAATGAATTATAGTTTGAATGAGTCCTTGTGCCACTGGAAACCCTCTCTAGATCACATTTAGAGAACTGCCACAGCAGCATGTCTGAGAGTCTTAGTTTGTTTAAAGCATTCTCTAACATGATGATTAACCCTCATGTAATCCCAGTCACAATTTTATCACTATAGATATAAATGAGCATGTTGAGTCCAGCTACCACTTTAGTTTTATGTCCAGAATATTATAAGCTTATAAAATCCATTCCATTGGAAAGCAGAATGGCCTTACATTAATTTCTAAACTTTACACAACAATTAGGCAAAATTAGACAAGACTTAATGCTTTTTAAGTCCAGAGATTTCCTTTCTAGTTTTACTATGAAGCAAACACATCAAAGAATACTTTCCTCCCACCAATTCAAGTTACAGTGCCTAAGACCAGTGCTAGATTAAAAATAAATAAATGGGCCATGACTTCCGCCCCACCCACAAAATGATCCAGGAGGGAAGTTCCTACTTGCTTGTCCATTGCTCAACCTAACCTTGCTAAAGGAAGACATTCCTAGGTGACGACATTTATATTTAAATAAATTCCAAATGACAAAGTTCAGTAAGAGAGCTTCTGAGCAAGGAAATATATCCACCTGCCTGGAAAAGACTCAAATTCTGTGTCACTTGTAATGGGCCAGTGTGGAGTTTAAGTCATGACAAAGCATGCCCTAGCTCCTCCCCTGCCTCTTCAGCTCTCCTGCTGTAACTTTGGGCAGGCTGTAGAGGCATAGCATTCTCCTCTCTGGATTCTTCACTCTTTACCTGTAAATGCTACATCATATGATCTCAGTTTCTTCAACTACCCTTTCTGTTGACTGCATGTTAATTTGCTAAATAGATTTTGCTATCCAAAAATAATGCAGAACCCAGAAGTGAAGAAATGTGTGGATTTGTCATAGAAGACAAGTTATGAAAAGAAAAACTGAGCCAAATCATAGTGAAGCAATTCTCGGGTTAGCAGGAAAACCAATTCGAAAAGAACTATAGTCTAAGGAGGCACATAGAGTTGAGAACCCGCTAACAATCATTCATTCCGTTCACACCTTACATTGGGGATCTATTACGTATTGGTCATCTGCTAAGTTCTGTAACACAAAGATGAATGAGACCCTCCCCTTGAATTGCTCACATTAAACAGTTCCAAGATTATCTCTAATGGAATACATGTGTACAAATATGCTTTGGAGAAGTCAGTTCTAAGTGATAATAAGGCTGCCTCACACTCAGACAATAAGAGAATCAGAGAGAAAAGCTTGTCATTCAGACAGTAGGTAGATTCAAACAGATGATATACAACAGAGAATAACTATTGACATAAATAGAGGCCAAAGATGGTGAAAAGGTGAGGGTTTGGGAGTGGTGTGCAAGACCCTGGGAGAGACGTTGGAATGCAGGAGATCTGGGGATCCAGGTTGATTCTGGACATTTTGGAAATGCCATTCCTAATGGTTAGATAAAGGATATAATTTGTTTCAGAGATTAAACTCTCTGGCCCTCCCCTACCATTTTCCATTTATCATATGGGATTCCAGCTACCTGGAATCCCAAGGTGGGTGGATCACTTGAGGTTAGGAGTTCAAGACCAGCCTGGCCAACATGGCAAAATCCCATCTCTAATTATAAAAATTAGCCAGGCATTGTGGCTCATGCCTGTAATCCCAGCTACTCCGGAGGCTGAGGCAGGAGAATCACTTGAACCTGAGAGATGGAGATTGCAGTGAGCCAAGATTGTGCCATTGCACTCCAGACTGGGCAATAAGAGTGAAAACTCTGTCTAAAAAAAAAAAAAGACTGATGAGCGGTGTGATAGCAGTATGCACTGGTGCTATGACAGCAGAGCATTCACTCTGCCTTGAGATTCAGGGTACGCTTCAGAAAGAAGGTGACATTTGAGCTTCAAGATGAGTAGCACTTCACGAAGTAGAATAGAATGGTATTCCAGAAAGGGTGGAACACCATGAATAAAGCAATGTGTTATGAAGAAAATAGTATGTTTGGGGGATAATAATAAGTTTATCTTTTGAACGCTGATACTTAACAGTCAACAGTATGCGTGGGGAAGTAAATTTCCTTCCATACATGGATACATTTCCTCATGCAACAGTTGTGAAACAAGGACCACAGGGAGATGCAAGTAAATTACTTTTTAAAAGACTATGGAGTAAAATTCTTTTGTCAGGTGGATAAATCTTCCCTAATGAATCTCTCCTGAGATGCTTTTCCCTCCAAAGGTCTAGCTTTTTCCAAGAGGTTTATTCGGGGAGGTATGAAGAAACGCGTTGAAAGAAAAGTAAATACTAATGCTTTGAACAATGATAAAAAATCAGAAAGGTCAAGGCTTTAAGGTCATTTAATGTGAAGAGGAAATAAATGTTCAGCATTTAAGGATTATCACGAACCCAACTTTTCCTAAATACGGAATAGTGGAGGTGGAACCAGCAGAGACTTTTATTCAGGGAACACCCACTACCTGACAGGTAGATGCTTTGGTATCCGGGCTGCTCTGCGCCGCCGCCTGCCCCGGTAATCATCACGACAGCCCAGAGGTAGGTATTACCACCCCCCGTTTTACAGGTGAAGAAACGGAGGCGCAGGACGGCCAGGTAACCGGCTTGGGGTGATAAATGAACCTAAAATAAGCGCCGACCTCGAAGCTCATCGTCTTTCCCCAACCCATGCGGCTTCATTAGAGAGACTTTTTTGATTAGCTATAGAGAAAACGTTCCTCCTCAAACATGAAATGCAATCCTGAAGGCACAGGTCTCTCTCCCTCCCCCCCGTGTGTGTGTGTGTGTGTGTGTGTGTGTGCGCGCGCGCGTGTGTGTGTGGGTAGTGGGTTTTGGGACCCATGAAGCAATGTTCCCCAAATAGCCTCAGATCAGGATGTCTATAATTCATCCCGTTATAATTAACCCCGGGGTTACTGTATTGTTTCTGAAGCCCTTGCTGAAACATGCAGCTATGGACCTGGCAGGATTGACACGATCTCTCAATTACACCTAATTAAAGGGCTGGCTCTCTGAGAACCTGACCCGACTGGGCCGGGAGTGGGAAAGGCGGGGGCTGCCTGTGGGGCTGAGGGGTGAGGTTCTGCAGGCCTGGGAAGGCAGGTGAGGGGTGGACATCAGGACTGGGAGTTACTGGGTGCTCGGTGAGATGGGGGACGTTGGAGCTGAACTAAAACAAACTTCGGCTTCTGGACAATTCTCCCGGGAGAGGGCGGGGAGCACACCTGGCCCGGGACTGTCTGGGAATCCTATTGACAGGTCATCTCAGGTCCACTGTCTTCCTGGCGTGGACGTCTCCGGGGAGTCCGCCCGGGCGCCACAGCAGCCACCTCCCGCAGCAGCGGGGTCCGCAGATTTAACTCTATCCCCCCAGACTCGGGCGCTGAGGGCCGCGCTCCCTCCCCTCCGCACCGCGCCCGCGCCCCCGGCTCCCGGACTGGGCATGCTCAGTCGCCGCCCGCTCCTGGCTCCCAGGGAAACCTCTGCACGCCCTCCCCCGCCGCTCTCGGTCGCCTCCTCTCCACCCGCCGCCCAGGGAGCATCCCGGCTTGCTCCGCTCTTCGCGACCCAGATTCCTGCCCCGCCCCCGCCCCTTCCGCGCCCGCAGCCAGTGCGGCAGCCGCGGCCGCCCCTGTCCAGCCTCGGCGCCCGGGACCGAGCGCGTCCATCGCCGCCGCGCAGCGCGCCGCCGGAGCGCCTGGGGAAGGCGGAGATGAAGACCACGCCGCCGCGCGCCCCGAGCTGCTGAGCCTGCCGCCGCCAGAGTCCAGGTGATTGGCGACCCCAGAGGAGCCACGGGGCGAGTGGCGAATGCCCTTGGGGAGGGAGAGGTGCGGCGAGGACGTAAGGCGTCCGTCGCGCGAGCCGCGCGGTGCCTGGGACGCAGCAGAAATGAAAGCATCGGGGCTGAGAGGGAACGTGAATGGAAATGCACTGTGCTTCGGTGCAGGGGCTCGGGGGTCACCCAGGACCGTGATTTTCCCTCTATCCTCTCCTCCTAGATTAACACCCTAGAGGCTGCAGGTCGGCGCGAAAGGCTGTTTGCATCTCGGCCCGGGCGCAGGTCGCCTAGCGACCTAAAGCCGTGGGCTCGGGGAAGGGATCCCAGGCAGAGCCAAAATGGAAGGCGGGACCAGGGCGGCCTGGCGGGGGCGAGGGGCCGGTTTGGGTCCCTGGGGACCCCTTGCCCTGCGGGCTTCGGCCCCTAGGGCGGAGCAAGGCAGCGGGGCGGCGGGGCGGCGGGGCCGCGGGACTGTGGGGTCCTCAGTCCGCGCAGCGAGCCGGGAGGAGCGGTCGGCGGGGCTGTTGCGCTGCGCCTCCTCCAACTGCTGGGAAACTCCGCACTTGAATATTAGAGCATCTCTTTCCTGGGCAGGTAGAATTGGACAGGCGAGTGGGGACTGACAGCTGACAGCTGAAACGGGGCTGTTAAAAGCAGAACAGTGGAGTGTGGTGATGGGGTGAGCTGTCATGGGTGTTTTTTTTTCTTTCTTTCTCTCTCCAAGTGTGAGTATGGGCTGCTCTGACTCAGTGTTTCTGCTCAACCTCTAAGCGGCGAGTCCGGTAACACACCTTATGAATATTTCAGGAACAACCTTACGGGCTCACTTGCTTCAGATCAAGTTTAATGAATATGTTTGTCAGCCTTTCTGCTCTGCACAGGCAGGTAGAAGCCCCAACCAGTGCCCCGAGCTTTCCACATTTCATCCCTTTCCCCACCAACTGGTAAAAAGACGCTGCTAACCTCCAGTGGGCCATAGATTGGTACGATAAATTGAGTCTGTCATTTGGGAGACCAGTTTTGGGCAGGCATCCAGGCATTGTTCTGCATCTCTGCAGTGTATGCGTGTTGCGCCGGTAGCTTGACAACCGTCCTTAACTGGTGCTGCCAATATGGTGGAAAGCAGGTATTGTGCTTGTATTGGGACAAATGTCTTAATTCATTAACATATTATGACAACACGTAGTTACAGCAGACTTAGTCATTCTCTCCCCCAGAAGTTTTCTCTGAGGTCAGTTTAGTTAGTATTTTGGCAAAGGCACACTCTTGTATCTCTCTACATTGGCAGGTATTTCTCTCATCTTAATCTTTTTCATAGGAAGAAGAAATAAATATCTTCTCTGTAAGACATCACTGTCAAGAACACCGAAAGAAGAACCCATTAACGTAGGGAACGTTGAGGACTGGAACAGGCTGTGGGGCATCTTTCCCTACACTTTGGGTTATAACTTCCATTGCATCAACACCATTTACCAGTAAACCAGCACACACAGTAATCAGTACTCGAAATAGTCCTGTTTTGCAGAAAAAGCCTGCTTTTCCCCCGCTTTGATGAGATAGATACGTAATCTTCATAAGGACCTATAAGGAATTCCTCTGCGGACCAAAATTTTAAGCCTCCAGTACAGGATGCTAAAAGAAGCAACTCTTTAATCTTGCCAGCCCATACACAGTGAGGCTGAAGTGCTTCAAATTTTCAGATGTTTTACATTTAGGGAAGGCTTTTCCAACAAAGACCTACTGCAGTTACATCACAGGCTCCACCTCCGCCTGCCAGGCTGCTTCTGCAAGCCTGTTAGTGAGGATAGTATGTATTGCTGTGCTTGATTAATGAAGAAAAGAAATCCCCAAATGCAAGATTCACTTATTTCTCTTATCGAATTCTGCTGATTTAATTGAAAATTTCCAAAATTAATACATGCAGCCAGGACTTAACTGAGGCATGATAATAACTCTATAAATGTTAGCGTTCCAAAAGATCTTGAGCAAAATTACAGTATTCTTCGTAAAATCTTTGATATATTGTATTAGAAGGAAGATTCTATGAAATTGACAAAATAAGTGAAAATGTCATATAATAAATTAAGCAGCATTTCTTAAAGCATGTTATTTAGATGTTCAAAAGAAACCCAGTTGCATTAACAGACATAAAATCTGGATGATTGAGAAGTTTGCAGAGCTCACATTACAAATCTCCAGGTGCCTTAAAGGAAGCGTTCTCTGACCCCTCTGAGAATTTTTAGCAAATCACTGTTAGGGTTTCCAGATTTAGCAAATAAAAATGTAGGCTACCCAGTTAAATTTGAATTTCAGATGAACAGTGAATTATTGTTTTTAGAATACCTATGTCCCATATAATATATGGTACATACTTATACTACAAAATATTATTAGTTGTTTATCCCAAATTCAGTTTCGACTGGGCAGCCTGTATTTTTCTAGCAACCCTAGTTATTGGAAATGTTTCATTCTTCCTTTTTGGGTCATTTATGGGTTGAAAAAATAAAGTGGAGCAGAAATCATATGCTGTTCTGCAGACAATCTGGGACAAGCTTAGTTCTGGTTCAAGCTTTTGAAAATAACTCGTGCTTAAAAGTGAACAGCTTCACTTCAACACATATTGGTTGGGTATCTCTGCTTGCTAGGCTTCGTGGAAGGTGCCAAGGATGCAAAGAGGACAAGGGGAAATGGGGCAGGGGGAGGGATCTGCATCATAAGTTCTGGGACTTGCTGTACTGTTTTGTGTGTTTATGGTCGTGGTGGAGGGGCGTGTCTACTGTAGGAGCCTGGGAGAGACACTGAATTATGCTGGGCAGCTACAGTCAGGGAGTGAGATGCCTAGCAGTTTTGAAAGGGCTGGCCTTGAATAAGACAGTGAGATCTTATCCCGGGAGAAAATGAGAAAAACAAAAAACAACAACAACAACAACAAAAAACCTCTATACCTCTGTATTAATAGATAGTAGAATAGAGTGGTGCTGGATGTTGAAGGATTTGATCTGGTAGCCTTACTGAGAGGACAGAGTGGCCTGCTGAGAATGAGGGAAGCGAGGGGGATTCTAAAAGAAAGATTTTAAATAGTTGCCACTGGGAATGGAAGAGATAGCTGCAGAGGGACAACTGCAGGAATTGGCAGATGGTACTTGAGTGAATGCACCTCAGCGTATTTAACATAGCAGTTGATCTGCTCTTGACTCATACCCTAAGTGATCATTTACTATTCTACTACCATCCTGGTCTCCTCAGATAAAAAGTCGTCATCACTCAATACTGGAATATATCATTTAAATGTTTTATTACATTTATATAAAAGTAGATATTTAAATATAATATTTGAGATGCCGATCAATAGTCAGTTGCTTCTTGGCACAAATCTCTGAAATAAGATAAGCAGATGTCTTGGTTTTAGCAAATCTGTTGCTTCAAGTAGGAAAAGAAATTAAATTGAGATGATTTCTGACTTGGTCCAGCTATCTTTAAGAAGCTAGATTCTGATGATGGAAAGAGTATACATTTTACAGAAATAGCAATATGTGAAAATGACTCTATGCTTGTAGTACCACAGAGGACGTAGTCAGAATGTTCCAAATGCAGTTAATTCCAAAAAACCAGCACATCACATACATATGTGTCTTTGAAGACCCAGAAACTACTTTCATTATTGAATGACATAGTAAGTTTCCAGGGAAGTTGATGATCAAACCAATGCAGTCCATGTAGAGAACAATTACTCATTTCTTGAAGACTCCAATTTACAAACTCTGGCAACTGATAATAGAGTGCTGTTCTAGATTGCACTTCTGTTAACAAATCTAGTTTTCGTAGGATCCATCCTTCAGAAGAGCCTCATGTGTTTGAGTGTTCATATGTGTGGTTAAATTTCCACTTAAAATTTTATAATAAGGCCTTAAAATTATAAAAATTATTCTATACTAAAACTTATAATTAAGTAGCTCATTAGGATCTTTCTTATCAAATGATTATCCTTTCAACAGAGCAGAAACAGTTCTATTTCAGGTTTTTTTACTGTTCCTCTTATAATGTCTGCTAAACACATTCTGCCTTGTAGTTCTGATAGTATATGAGAAAAAAATGTGGACAGGAATGTACTGATATTGCTAACATTTCAAGGCAAGTAGACCGTAGGTTTTGTTTTCAGCAAGGCTTCACAAGAACACCGCTTATTAAAGAAAGGCCTACTGCAGTAATCCCCAATGACAGTTTATGTGGACTATCACCCAGAGAGAGCCTTGACTGAAATTGTGTGCCCTATTTACATTTTACATTCTAAGTCCTCAGTGAATCTCTGAATTTAAAGATTCTGAAGACAGTATGTTCTTTCATCCTGGGAGCTTTTAACCTTCCAGCTCACTTATGCTGACCATGAGCAAGTCATGTTTTATATCAGTTTCCATGCTGTAAAATGGAAGATATGCACATTAAAAAAATAATATTGTGCCAACCCTAATCTCAGTATCTATAAAATAAACTCTAAGTGTTGCTGTGGTTCCAAGGGATGAATAACTTTATTCTCAATGAAAGTAGACAAGTTATACAATGTTTGGGTACTCTATATGATATTTTAGATGCCATCGAAATAATTAACAATTTGATTTTTTTTTTTTTTTTGCTTTTGCTTTTTTGGTGCAAAGCAAAATGATTGTGGCAAATGCCTAAGGAGAGCTCATTAAGCCTCTTTTAAAAAATCAGCCTCATGCAGGCAAATAACTACAGATTCAAAGGTCTTTACATAACTTTTAAACGTTAGTTTCCATTTTAATTATTGGGATTAGGACTTGGGTAATTAGAATGCTGGTTATAAGAGCTCATTTCAACATTATAACTCTCCTTTCTGTTTTTCTTTCTCCTTCTGTTTTTCTTTTCTCTTTCTGCAGAAATACCTCTTTCTGCAGGTAGTTGGTCAAAGGCTACCATATGTTTTGAAGGTTTCATTCATAATGAAACTAATTATTTATTTATCTCACAGCTGTTTTTTAGTTTAACAGATATCACCAGTGACATCAGAAACTCTGTTCCCTAAATCTTTTTTACTTTTTTACCAGTTGGCATTATAAATATTTAAAATGTGAATCAATCTTTGGAATGAATTTACTGTACATTTCTTACCTTTTCCTTTAAATAAATAGGAATATTCCACCCTTCAAAATTTGGAATCCAGATTTTCTGAAGACTCCATATTCCATAAATACTGGCATGTTAATTTCAGGTTTTCTTTGCTTCAAAATCCACTTAAATGAGCAAAAAAATAATAATTGCTTTTAGAAGTTCAATTGTACATTCTCTTAAAATGGTAAACATTTATCAAAGCTATTTAAATTATGTACATTATTAGTCGTAATTTTAAAAGCCTTTACTAAAATACATAGAATTTTGACTTTCATATTCTGTCTCATGGATAATGTATATGTAGCCCAATATGTGAATCCAAAATATTAAAATCGAGACTTATGAAACAGATGGGTTGAGTTATAGTTTTTACTTCACTAAAGAGTTTTGCTGTTCCAAAATTTTTCTCTACTATTCCTTTAAACTGTAGATAACTTGAAGTATTTAAAATAGAGCCAGAATTATCAAATTTTTATATATCCACAATCCTTCTAGCACACATTTATCAACTAGAATATTGAGTAATCTTTGTGGGTGAGAGGCAGCAAAGAAGTCTTCAATGTAGTGTCATAGCCGGGTTTGTCAGCTACATCCAAAGAATGTTCATAGGTGTGGAAGCCAACATGGAAGCTGGTTTCTGTTGGTCTACCTTACAGCTCTTTATTTGACCATGACATTTCTACAATTTTATCAAGGACTCAGATGTACATAGATCAAAATGCAAAGCTAAAGCAATAGAGAATTTGGATGACAATCAGGTTTAAATTGGAAATCTCTTAGCCCAGAACAAGCACTGGAACTAAGATTATATTTTAAAAGGATGGATGTGAAGTTCATTTAGGTTCTAAAATCACTTGCTGAGAACATAATGTAGAAGTCCTAGTTTACCAACAGTTTGGGTTTCAAAACATAGTTTTAGTTCACTTGAGCATTAGCAAACAGTACAGAAGGAATTAATGCTCTACTTTTGTTGGATTCATAGATGAATGGAGTCCAGATCTAAGAAGGTCAGAAGCAAAATATATAACACACTGCACTGAAAGTGATGCATTTCGAGCCACCTGTCAGAGCGACAGAATGCTTTCATTGGGTGGGACATTGGTTCAGATGACCAAAAAACACCTCCTAAATCTTATCCTGCAGTTTAAATTGAGCTTTCAGGCACTTATACACAAATCTGCCAATGTCTAATTCAGCTTAGTAACATATATGTGATAGATAACTATTGTACATCATTTCTTTGACTTATAATGGATATATGATCTTATTCTTTTCCATGTGTTAGTTATTCCCTAGGTAATTAATCAATCTAACTAAAAATAGGTGCATCTACTCTGTGACTATCACTAGGTTAAATTAAAGAGCCTGTTTCCAGTTATTCTTTAATTATCTAAGATCATATTTGAAATTCTAGTTCAAAATGATGATATGTATTTCGAATAGCCATAAAATAGGCTTGTGTCCAAGTCCTAAAATAAAATTGCACAGCACACCTAATCAAATTGGACAACAATGAAAGATGAACATGTGTTCGTTCTGAGTGTACTCTGCATGTACTCTGTCCTTACTCTGCATTGTGTTTTGACTTTTAAAAGTATTTGTTTATAGCACAGAGTGGACATTTGTCATTCTTTTCCAACAATGCCATCTGAATCTCTTGTCCATGTTGTGGGTTATACTGGTGAAGGTTCTCCAGAGAAAAGGAGATATATTTACATTAAGATACTTATTATAAGGAATTGGCTTACTCCATGATGGAGGCTGAGAAGTCCTACAATCTGCTGTCTGCAAACTAGAGATCCAGGAAAGCTGGTGGTGTCATTCCAGTCCAAGGGCAAGAAAAGACTAATTAATGTCCCAGCATGCAGGAGGCAAAAGTGGGTAACTTCTTCCTTCTTCTACCTTTTTTTTCTATTCAGACCCTCTTTGGATTGATGATGTCTACCCATACTGTAAAGGAGAAATGGTTTACTTAGTCCACCAATGCAAATGCTTATTTCATCCAGAAACACCCTTGTAGGTGCACCCAGAAATAATGTTTAATCTGGGCACTCTTTGACCAGCCAAGTAGACAGACAGAATTCACCATCACAGGGGCTCTTGCACGGTGAGGCAGAGCCCACTCCCTACTCTAGAAGCTGAAAGTGCCAGATGCTTCCTTTCCCCAGACATTCTTGCACCTGGGCCTGGGCCCATGACCCAAACTCTGCCCCGGTGGCAGATGTTCCAGTCCATAATATCCCTTGACCAGTGCTGGAGGGTCAGTGGGGCCACTCCAGTCTGTGCCTGGTGGTGGCAGTAGAGGTCTCTTTACTGGGTCAGTTCTGTGTCATTTTAAGTTATTTTTGGCTACATAACCTCATACCCAGCTCTCTAGCCAACCTGGAGATTCTGTGAGTTGCCTTCAGAACAAATTCCATTTCTGCTTATTGGCAGAGCTAGATTCTGTTTCTTGCAGTGATAAACAGGATGAGAGTCCGTATTTATGTGGGACCCATTGAGCACACGGCACTGTGAAAGGCACAAAATGGAATGCTTTTTCATTCTCTGAGTATTCATGGAACAAGGCATCTTGCTTGGCATTGGCCGGAAGGAGAGACATACAAAGCTGGTATTTCGAACCAGTGCTATGAACACAAGTAGGAGGAGGTGGGGATACTACTGGCAAACTTAAAGGGAGGGTAGATGTAATTCCATGGCTATGCTAATTTTAAAAATGGATGTAGTGTGTAGATGAAGGGTTGGGATAAGAAAGGATACTTTTCGGGCAAATAAATACTGTGTTTCATCTATTCCAAGAGAAAATTTTTTTCCTTCAATTTAACATTTATGAAATTAGGAAGCATTGTTAAGAGTGTGCCATGTTTTAATTGTTATTTTTTTCTGCTCAACTCATCTGCCATATTTTATTGAATCTAAGATGTCATTAACATACACTATTATATGTTATAGCTCTAAGGAAAAAGCTCAATAATTATTTTAAAAATGCCTCTGCCAGGCACAGTGGCCCATGCCTGTAATCCCTGCACTTTGGGAGGCCGACACAGGTGGATCACTTGAGGACAAGAGTTTAAGACCCACCTGGCCAACATGGTAAAACCCCATCTCTACTAAAAATACAAAAATTAGCCTGGCATGGTAGCATGTGCCTGTAATCCCAGCTACTTGGGAGGCTGAGGTGAGAGAATCACTTGAACCCAGGATGCAGAGGTTGCATTGAGTCGAGATTGTGCCACTGCATTCCAGCCTGGGCAACAGAGCAAGACCTATCTCCAAAAAGACTATATCCTAACAGCTTACTGGGGACCCCAGACTAGAGGATTCAAAGAGACCCTAAGAGAACTAAGTCAGTTATGGAAATGGTATGGGTTAAATACCAAATTCCTTTTCATTGTTGTTTTAAATAGTGTTCAAAAGCTATTAAAGAGTAATAGATTTACCTCTAACTTCTGTTATAAACCAATTTGGGTGCTAATTATTATAGCCTTGCTTGGCTGTTAAAAAAAAAATGCCTAGCATTCCTGCGGTGATTCTCAATTTTGTAGATGGCACCTTGTTGTTGTTGGTTTTTTTTAATACCTTTTTTAAAAAAAATTCATATATATCCAAAAGTACATAGGATAGTATGAATCCCAGTAATTAAAAATCATCAAATCGTGACCAATGCTATTTGATCTCTAACCCTACCCTCTATCCACATTATTTTGAAGCAAATCTCAGATACCATATGATTTTGTTTATAAATATTTCAATAGGTATCTCTAAAAGAAAATGAGTTTTCAAAAATATACCCCTGGGGAAAAAAATCTATAATTTGTGGCACTTGTTTTTTTTTTTTTTTTTTTTTTTTTCAGGAAAAAAATTTTTTTTTTTTTTTTTTTAATTTTTTATTTATTTTTTCCTTTGGAGGTTTTTTTTTTTTTTTTTTTCAGAAAAAAAAACAGTAACAACAACAAATTAGTAACAACAGCAAATCCACTTCAATGTCTACTGATTGCTTTTTATGAAATTTGTATGATGCTAACATGTCATATTGCGGTTCTGCAACAATATCTCTTCTGTTTTTCATCCTGCAGGCTTCTTTTCTATATATGCTGTAGCTGAGGAGTTGTGTAAAAAATATTCTTGCCATTTCCAATGTAGTTTTCAGAAAAGCCGTATCTGTCCTTTAATTATTTTTGGCCCTAAACGAAGAATTCATAATACCTTATCAAATGATTTGGACATGCTGTTAGCTAATGAGCCTATATCACATTGAACCATGTCAGCATTTGTTTACTCAAACTCTTCCACATTCCTGTTAAATATTTTCCATTCATCTTCATCTAATGTCAAAACCAACTCACACACATCTGTACTGTGTTGCCTGATGGATACTGTCCCAGAAGTGGCTTGGGTTTTGATAATTCCTCCACTTGTTGCAGGCGAATGCTCTGGTTCCTCAAGCCTTAGTTCCTTCTTCTTCTTTTTTATTTTTTTAAAAGTGTGATTTAAGTCAAGGTTTCATGGCACTAGATCTCAAGA